GATGACCTACCTGGCTGATTACTGTGGGTTGGTGTACTTGAAATACGTTCTATGGAGGCATTAATATTACCACCATCACTCAATACTTAGCCAATAACTACATCTATCAAGGACTCAGAACTATTATGTAGCAATGATTGAGATCTAGTTGATAATGTGTCCCCTGGAGGCTGTATAATAAAAGAAGGTAAAGGCTGCGAGTCATCATTCAGACAAATTTTCTGTGCTTCCTTAAATAATTGTCCCACATCAAAGGTCACATAACAAGAAACATGTATCTTTCTGCTAGCAGGAGAGTAACATCGATATCCTTTATGCTCATCACTATACCAAACAAACACACATTCTTCTGTCTTTGTAGAGAGTTTGTGCTTTAGAAATTTATCAATATAAACATAACACATGCTATCAAAAGCACGTAAAATTGAATAATCGGGGAACTTTTCCTGTGAGCATTTGATATGGGGACATAATGTTTGGATTGGCAGAGGTCGGTAATCGATTAATTACACACACAGTTGTATGAAATGCCTCACTTCAAAAATGCATCGGTATCCCCCTATTAAATATTACAGACATCCCCAATTCACTGATGTGTATGTGTTTTTGCTCTACAATACCATTCTGAGCAGGTCTACGTGGACAAAGGACCTGTTGTTTGATACTATAAGTTTGATAGAAGGATCTAAAATTATGAGAAGTATATTCATCAACATTATCACTACAAAGGACTTTGATTGACTTGATAATGTTTTTCGGTGAATTCTTTGAAGGATTGGAAAACTTGAAGCCCTTCAGATTTGGATTTTAGAAAATATATCCATGTAAAGCGGGTGAAATCATCAACAAAACTAATATAATAGCGAGAACCAGAGAGAGATGTAATATCAAATGGTCATTAGAAACAATGTTGCTTGGCACTTTATTACATAAAGAGGGCAATGCCCACATTGTAGCCCTCTAACAGATATGTAACAAGTTTTCCCATAAAAAACCATATGCGATGAGAGCTAGCATAAAAAATGTTGGCAGTATTTAAAATAACCTATGGCTTTCAAGAAAACCATATATTTAGCTTCAATCTACAATGATGTAGCATAATTTAAACAATATTTTTGTAGTTTTCAATTTTTTAGTCTAGTTTTTTTCTTAGGAAAACACCAGGATTTTCAGAAAAAAAAAATTGTACATATATTTGGCTTAATTTTTGTTAGGGGTTTTGTTGAGCATAAATTTCCAAATATTGTCTTTTGTTCTTTTACTTTTTTATTTTATTCTTGTTTTGTGGTCCACATGGACAGACTCACGAAACCAATGGGGAATATTTGGTCACTAGTTTTACCGATTCTACCCATTGGCCCAATTTTTGAATGTTTTGATCTTATTTATCATTGCAATTCATATTTCCCATGAAATGTGAATATCAAAAATAAAAATATAGGGTTTTTATAAATATCCTCTATATTTTGAGGGAGGGTTTCAATAAAGAAAAAATAAAGTTTATATAAGGTTGAGTCTCTAAACAATCAAATTAAGGTACACTTAAAAAATTCGCTAGCGGAGATTGTTTCGATGATGAAAAGCCCTCAAATTGATTATCTCAATATTGAGATGTATAGATGTGAAGAAAAATGATTTCAAGTCTGGAAATTAGTGCATTTTGTAATGCATATCTAAGGCGTCAATTTTCATTAATTTCAAGTGTTTATCGATTTGTTCAATCTACACTATTTTTTAAGCTTAAATTTTATAAGGATGCATATGAGGAGACCATTTATTTTTTATACATGAAGGTCACAATTATTGTAAACCATCAGATGTAAAATCAGATGGGTGGTGATATATCACTAATTGAATACAAAGTTCGAAACAGATTTTCTCGAATGCTGTGATATATTTTAATATGTTAAATTTCATAAGTTGTGACCTTTTTGTACCAAAAATAAATGGTCTACTTGATTGTTCGCAAGTAGCTAAGTATTCATTACATAAGGGATTTATTCGATTCAATCGTACCACGTAATCCTTCAAAAGGTATTCCAAGTGAGTTATTTTAGCTCTACAGTTTCTTTTCTTCAATCAAATAAAGTAAAGCGCTAGGTTCAATTATTTGTAACTAACAAGTATATTTTGCTGATAGGAATCGAAGTAACCAAAAAGGGGTTTTTTTTCTTGACATAAGTTCTAATTTCTAATTGTAGTATGAATCAGATAGATATATTATTCGACCTTTATTCCTGACTAGCAATCAGGAACCCTCTTATCAATATGATAAGATTTTCGTATCGCAAAATTGAAAATTGAAATTAAAAAAAAAACAAAAAAACGATTTCATCTTCTCGTCATAGTATTCAATCCCATTTTATAAATAGATATGAAGGTAAATTTTCAAGCCATCACAAAGATTTTTACTATTGAAAGTCATCTTTGGACTCTATTTAGAAGTGCACCTTACTTTGATTGTTTAGGACCTCACCTTATACAAACCACGCCCTTTAATAAATACCCTCTAGAGGCATTAGAAAAAATTTGTTGCTATTTTATATTTTGAAAAAGTTTTTATAGAGCCGAGGCTCTAAACAATCCAATTAGAGCTCACCTCAAAAATTTCACTAGAAGAAGTTATTTTGAGGCCCAAATATTCTCAAATTGATAATGCATTTTTGTACCGTCAATTTTCAAGATTATCAAGTTTTCATAGATCTACTTGATCTACACTATTTTTTAAGCTTTAAATTTTACAATTAAAGGTAAAAATATTTTTTAAGGCTATCACAAAGCTGATCCTTTGGGGTCCTACACACATGGGTGTGGGAGGGTCTCATAAGATCATTATTCATTTTTATAAGAGAAATAATCCGATAGGACCCTCCCCAACCCACGTGTGTAGGACCCCAAAGGATCACCATTAAATTTGGTACGGAACTATAGAAAAGTCAAGACCTATACCCATGAGATAACTTTTCTAGAGATCCGCACTAACTTTAATGGTGATCTTCTAAGGTCCTACACACATGGGTGCGGGAGGGTCCTATGGGATCATTGCTCTTTTTATAAATGTATTATAGAGTAATGATCCTATAGGACCCTCCCCCGCCCATGTGTGTAGGACCTCAAAGGATCACTATTAAAGTTGGCACGGATCTCTAGATACATTATCACATAGGTGTAGGACTTGACTTTTATATAGATCTGTGTCAAATTTAATGGTGATCATTTAGGATCTTATACACATGGGTGGGGGAGGGTCCAATAAAATCACTTCTTTATATTATATTACTTAAAATATGTTCCACAATTCAATAGGCGTTGTTTTATTTTATCATGAATTAAATAAACTAAAAGCTTTTACCGTAATATTTTACTTGCATATGCAGTTATACGAATGAATATACGATTTACATATATATTTATATGTCCCAGGGAATATTTACGCACGAAACCAAAGGTACAAAGGACTAAGTAAGAAGCTTTGGTTTCAAAAGTCAAATCAGTGTGACTTGTCGCATGGTGTTGAGAGCACATCATACCGAGCCCTTGAATCAATCCAAGAACAAACGATGGGAACGCTAAAGTAAAACCATGTGCGCACAAATCGGCGGTGGATGGACCTTTTTCTTTACTGAAACCACCTCCAATTTTTGAACGTTCATCGTTTTTTTGGGGCTGGTGCGAGCCCAGTTCGGACTGGCCCGATCTTTGTTTTGGCCCGGCTGGCCCGGGCTCTAAGTATGCCAGGACTAGGCATTGGCCAACCCTATAAGGACAAGGGCCGTGTCTGGGCTGGCCTTGCCCATTGCCCCTAATTGGTTCAAGCACTTCGACTCAAAAAATTCTGTCCGGTCTTTGACTGAAAAATATATTAGCAGAAAAGAAGTCCCAAATTATTTGTATATTGGGAAAAATAAAAAATATCAAATAAAAGACATAAACATAAAATATAGAATATTAAAATATTTATTATAAAAGTAAACAATTTACCTCTAAATTTATTTTGATCAATATTTTTTATGTAATTTTACTTTTGAAAATGAGGCTAAAACACAAATTTCATACCAATATGATTTTAAATAAAAATTAAAAAGAAATTACTTTTAGTCCTTGAATGAGGATGGTTCAATCTGAACCATTAAAAGGTGCTTATGCACCTTTTGAGTGTCCACAACATGTGGCCACAATACCAAACCATTTTACGAAAACAAGTAGTACCCAAAAGAGTTTGGCAATAATAGGAATAGAAATGAGGAATTAGCTGAGAAGATAGCCAAAAAGATCGTAAAAGAGAATATTATCAATATTTTAGGTCGATAATCTATGAGAATTGAGAATTTGAGAAAGATATTACACATAAAGCTAGGTAGACGAAGTGGAGAAGTGCTTCTCTTGTTTTTTGTTAGCATTACATACGAGTGAAACTAAGGGAAAAATTCTATACGATGGTTGTAAAGTCAGTCATGCTTTATGAGATGGAATACTAATGGTCAAGAAATAACATATCATAAAATAAGTGTGGCAGAAATGAGGATGTTGAGATGGATGACCAAAAAAGATAGAATTCAGAATAAATGCATCCTGAGAGAACTTGGTGGTAGCTTCAATAGGTGATAAAATAAGAGAAAGTGGACTTAAATAGTTTGGCCACATGCAACATCTCCCTAGAACAACATCGGTTAGGAAATGTGATTTGATTCAAGTAAAACACTCTAAAAAAATAAGAAGAAAGATTCAAGTAAAATGCTCTAAAAAAACAAGAAAAAAGCCTAAAAAAGAATGGATAAAAATAGTGAGAAGAGATATGGTATAATTGGGACTATTACACCCTGATAGAGAAAATGGCCGGAGCAAGATTCATATAGCCGACCCTAAATAGTAGAGACAAGAATCGGATGATAATGATAACTTAAGTCCGCGAAATTTAAAGAAATATATACGTTAATTCCGCAAAATAATAAAAACTTAAAGGACCACCTTACTAATGTTGTACTCTGCCGATTTGTTACCTTAGGCTGACCACCAATTGCATTCCACCCCATAGTCACCTCAACGGACCTAAACTCCGCCCACTCGCTCATGCTCGCCTTCCACAAAATGATAGCCCCTGCAGCCCTCAGCCTCCCAACCACCCCTGCATCTCGTGGCACCACCGAGCCAAGCAACGCGAGTGATCCAGCTGTGGTGTTGAGCCGGTCCCACGTCGCTATGTTACCCTTTAGCAGCACCGGTATCCCATGTAACCCTTCGGCGCATTCTCCATATGTGGCCTCTCTCTCTTTGTCGGCCTCGTCGGCCTGGTCCAATGCATCTGGGTTCACTTCGAGCACTGCACGTAGAAGCGGATTGAGCCCGTTAATTTCTCGGAGATAGAACTCGAAGAGGTCTTTCGATGTGAGCTCCTTGCGCTTGAAGGCCTGCTGAATCTGGCTAACTGTGGCTTCCTTAATCTCAAAGCCAAATGAGAGAGATAGAAGATGAAGAAGAGAGAAGATGAGCAATGCAACCCGGCGTGGGGATGGACCCTTTGTTTGGTGTGTGGAATATTATTACGGGAAATTGGTATGCTAATATTACTCAAATTTCAGGAAGTAGAATGGGGTGCAATTCCATGAAAATGATTCATTTTTAAAGGTTATAAACCACTGATACGCCCACTAAATTTCAAGGTTTTTGAATGCGCATTTTCAATTAGACAATTTTTGGTGGTCCAGCATGAGACTTGATGCTTTGTCCAAAGAAGCGTTTGCAAAATCGAACCGGAGGGTTAACCCGACATTGGGCCGGAAGCGGTTTAACCGACTTAACAGGTACACCGGCCTATTCAACCGTTCTTATCGGGCAAATCCCGGCAGCAAAAAAATTATTAAAAAAATAAAAAAAATGTAAAAAATTGTACTAAAATATGAGAAGCATATAAATAATGATTAAAACAAAACGCATTCAAATGAAGTTGAAAATTAATGAAAAAATGGATTTGAAAAGTGAGTATTAGTGACCAAAACAATTTTTAATATTTACCATAATGTAAAAAATAATAAAAAATATAATACAAATCAAATTTTTTATTTTTGAGATTTTATATACATTTTTATTTAATTTTTATTTTTTAAATGCCTACCGATCACCAAAACCGTTTGAAACCGAAATCGGCAAGGGGCCAGTTCCAATCTAACTGGCCGTTTACCGATTAGATCGTCAGGTTTTTCTAACAATGGTCCAAAGTACCATGGTATGGGATCTATTAAATTCAAAGACAATCACATCCCGCTCATTCATCTTTTGTTTATTTTTAAAAAGTTGTGACCTTAAATAATTGAAGTAAGGCTATATTTGTTGGGTGATTACTTTGTGGGGTCTAGCCCCATAAGGAGTGGAAAAAAAAAAAAAGGGAAGACCCAATAAAATAAGAAAAAGGTTAGAGAGAGAGAGGTTTTTAGAGAGAGAATATAGATGGTGTTTTAAAAGACAAAACAAAATGGGTTGTTTTATTGAGACACCATTTGCAAGCAAAGATAGGGTTCTTTGAAGGCTCTTGGAGAGAAGAAAGTGCAAGTTTGTAGCAAGGTTTCCATCACCATTTTAGGCCATTCTAGAGGTCATTTATGCTATCTCTCATGCTCAACACTCAGGTAGAAAATCGGAACCGTTGGTGCGCTCTCCGGTTGTGTCTCGAAGCCATTGGAAGACCATTTTTTTGGAGCTTTTTTGAGGTGGAAAAGAGATGATCTTGTTGGTGCTTGTGCGGCAACTTTGTCATTTCTCCAAGTTATTGTTGTTCTCTCATTTGATTGTAAGCTTCAAGTTTTGAGCAAAAACTTGAAAAGAAACTATATTATAACCCTCATTTGATTTTAGTGGATTCCTCTCTCGGATTTGCCCTGTGGTTTTTCTCTTCACATTGAAGGGCTTTCCACGTTAAACCTTATGTTGTGATTGTGCCTGTGTTTGTGGTTTGTGGAACTTTCCTTTTTGTGATTTGTGATTTCTATTTTCTTAGCACTTAGCAAATTGTCATTTTTTCGGTATTTGCACAAACATACATTGTGGGATGTTTTTACCTTTAATTCACTCATAGAAGGAAAGAGCATTGCTTCCCAACAATATTTACCTCTAACTATAAAATCTTAAATTTAAAAAATAGATCAAATCAAGTAGATCTATAAACAAATGAAAATCTTGAAAATGGATGGTCGAAATAATGTATTTTAAGGTGCACTATTTTTATGATTTGAATTTCTTTTTCAACAATGTTCTAAGATGTACTATTTTTATGATTTGAAATCTTTTTTTTTTTTCCACCATATCTATATATCTCAATGTCCATATGACTAATTAGATGTTTTTCTGACATGGAAAGAGTTTATATAGAGCTGAGGCTCTAAACAATCAAATTGGCCCCGACTTCAAAAAATTCACTAGAAGAGGTTGTTTTGATGCCCAAATATCCTCAAATTGTTCATCTAGACATCAAGATGTATGGACATGAGAAAAAAATGGATTTCAATTTTTGGAAATAATGTATTTTGAAATTCTTTTTTGGACCATCATTTTCAAGATTTTCAAGTTTTCATAGTACTGTCAATCTACACCATTTTTGAAGCTTTAAGCTTTATAAATAAAGATGAAACTATATGTTAAGGCTATCACAAAGAATTTCAGTATTGAAATAGCATTTCTCGATATTATTTAAAGGTAGGCTCTAATTGGATTGTTTAGAGCCTAGGCTCTATACAAACCGCACCCTTCTAACATCAAAACAACTTTTTTTTTTTTTTATTTGGATAATAGTTGCGCACCTTAATTCTATATTTTGAAGTGCCAACTTTATATAAACCTTTTTCTTTTCAAAGTTAGTTTTGTAAAATATCTGTCTTGGGCATTAAAAACGCTGGGAGTCATTCTCTCCTTGACTCGTGGCCGTTCATTAGATATTCAAACTTTGTCTCTTTAAATTTTATTCAGAAAATGGAATCGAAGACCATTAGAAAAGTTTCAAGTCATAAAGATGCCCCTACCTAGGTGTTTTTCATGCCCGACTAAATGTATCTTATAGTCTTGTGGGACCTCACGAAACTCTGCCCAACAAGAAACAGGTGCTGATTTGTGTGAATGGTTACGTTCTAGCAACTCACGAGTCTGAAACTTTCAACTAGGACACGGTTTCTACTAGTCCACGGACTCATATGTAGAAATGCGGGCCGCTTAATAATTTATTTTTGAAATGTAATTTGATTTAATTTCTAGGGAATATATAATGGGAAAAGTTTATATAGAGTCGAGGCTTTAAACAATCAAATTTGACCCTATCTCAAAAATTTTACTAGAAGAGGTTGTTTTGAGGCCGAAATATCTTCAAATTGATCATCTCGACATCAAGAAGCATGGACATGTGAAAAAAATGGATTTCAAGTTATGAAAATAGTGTATTTTGTAATACATTTTTGGCCCGTCAATTTTCGAGATTTTCAAGTTTTCATAGATTTGTTGATCTACACTATTTTTGAAGCTTTTAGTTTTATAAATAAACATTAAAATATATTTTAAGGCTATCACAAAGATTTCCAATATTGAAACCACATTTCTCCACACTATTTGACGGTAGGCTCTAATTTGATTGTTTAGAACCTAGGCTCTATACAAACCGCACCCATATATAATCATGGATATTATTAATCTGTAAAAATAAATAAATTTAAAAAATTAGAAATGATATTTTGTATAGAAATTATTAGAACCATTGATTTTTATTTTTTCTTTGGAGGACTATTATTTATATGACCAAGTTTTGGTGGATGATGTAGATCTTCGAGTCCGCATAGCAACAGTGGCGGGCTGGGAAGCACCAAACTACAATTTTCCTTTAAACAATGACTGAGAAAACCGGGTCAAAACGTACAACTAGTATTAGACCCTACATGGTAGAATAGGACGGGTAGATGGTAGAAACTTAAGAAGTTAAGTGACTTCAGTTCCATTTGGACATCAAACTAGGATTTGTACCGACCTCCGCCTCCATGTTTGACTCGTGACCGGCTCTATTTGACAGACAATTAGATTAGGTTTTTAAGAACTAAAAAAAAGCTTTTTTTTCCTTAATTATTTATAATTAAATTAAAAAACGGGTGCGGTTTCTATAAGGTTGCAATCTTAAACAATTCAATTAAGATGTACCTTAAAATTTTATTGTAATATGTAATTTTATTATAACAAATTCTTAGTACTATCTTAAAATCTATTTTCATACATAATTAAAAAAATTTAAATTTTAAAAATGGTTAAAATCAAGTAGATCTATAAATATATGAAAATCTTGAAAATGGACAGTCTAAATAATCTGTTGCTAGATGCATTATTTCTGATACTCAATTTTTTTTATTTTTTTATATATTTTTAATATTTATACATCTTAATGTCGACATGATCGATTAAAGGGTTTTTTCAACATTAAAACAACATTTCCGATAGATTTTTGAGGTACATCTGTGATTCTACATTTTAAGGTTACAACCTTATATAAACTTTTTCCTTAAGAAATTTCCTATAAAGAGATCATTTATCTTTATCTTTAAGGAGATCACAACTATTGTTAGTCATTAGATGTCAAATTAGAGGGCTTTGAGTGAATCACAAAGCTCGAAACTTTTTTTTTGAGAAATTTGTATCTATTCACTAAGATTCCTACAACTATTGTTAAAATCTAAAAGACAAAAGTGATTGTGATCTTTATGTACAAAAAATAAATGATATCTTTGTAGACTTCCCCGTGAAAGAAACTGAAATTCTCTAACTTGGTGTTTTGCTTCTGGAGCTAAATGGTCACTTTAGTCGGAGAGGGAAATGAGTTAGAGAGGGAAAAGGCGGGGCTAGAAAGAATGGAGTTCGAGAAAGTCACAGGTAAAAGACCTGGTTAGATAGTGAGGATCTAGAGAGAGAAAAGGATTGATACTTAATCATCATTGTCTAAAAAAATACATTTGTAAATATATTGAAAGAGGTTTAAAGTTGTTTTTTTTTTTCTTTGAATTTTGATATCTTTAATTTACATCTTTTAGGGTAAATGTTTTTTGAAATATTTTAATATCATAATATTAAATTTATAGGGGGTTTTATTTTTATTTTTATTATAATTAATAATTATACATTGATAATCAAATCTTGTATTTTATTTATTAATTTATTTTTATTATAAATTTTGTTATGTATTATTATTTTTTATTGTTGTAAATAAGATTTTTTGAATTCGATGATATTATAAGACATTGTAGATTTGTTCTTATTTTTAAATAACGTCTTTCTTTTTTAATTTGGTCACACCCAGTGTTTAAAAAATCAACAATCCGTGATGTAATGTACTATTTTTTTTTACAATTGTTAATAATATATTTTAAATTAGATGATATTATAAGATACTTCATCCATGATAATTCTATGATTCTTTTTTTTTGTGATGTAAATTTAATTGTTAACATAAATTCATACATGGAAATAATATCTCAATATTCATATATTGATCAAAACAATGAAAGTTAATAATTTAGTACCCCATTTTTTATTGGAATCCTAAAAAAACTATTTATAATGATTTTGAATAATTTGTTTTGGATTTTTTTATGGCCAATTTCAGATAGGAACCACCGATTCACTGATCCGGATGGGTGTTTAGGGTGCCTGATCTGAGGCACCAATCCATTTTTTAAACCACTGCTCCTAACAAGTGTTGTATCCGGATCGGCTATCCGGATCGAGAATCGGTTGCATCGGTCGGATTAAAGCTTCAAAAAAATCCAAAAAAATTATTAAAATTCATTATAAATATTGTTTTTTAGGAATCCAATAAAAAATGAGGGTACTACATTATTAACTTTTATTTTTTTTATCAATTTGTGAATATTGAGATGTTCTTTCCCTGTATAGACTTATTTTAACTATTAAATTTGCATCACATAAAAGAAAAATCATAGAATTATCATGGATAAACTATATAATTATATATGGACTATTATAAATTATTATAAAGAGTAGACTAATCAATGAAAGAATGGCCATTAAAATCTCGTTTTGGCAAAAAACCCTAACCCGCTAAAAAAACCCAAACTATTACAGCCTAACTAACTATAATCCAAAATTATTACAACCTCACTAATTATAATATTATATACTGAAATTATAATTATTAGTTTACATTTTATAATTATTTTATTAGACAAATAATAACAAATTAAAAATATTTTATAATATTATCTAATTTAAAATGTATTATTGACAACTGTAAGAAAAATAGTACATTGCATGATTTATAATGTAAAAATTCATAAATAAAATAAAAGATTTGGTTATCAACGTAAAAATTAATAAAATGCGTACAAATTTTGGAAATAATACTTCAATTTTTCAAAAATTTATATTTTTAGGTTGCTATAATAAATTTAGTAAAAGAGATTTTTAGTAGAAAGATGGAGATTTCAAATAGAATAAACTTTTTATTTTTACTTTTTTTATACTTTTCATATTATTTACAAAAATAATTATACCACTATATACGACAAAAATTAACTGTTATATAAAAAATTAATTTTTTTATTTTTCAATTTTTTATGTCTTTTATATTATTTACAAAAATATTTATATTTATACCAACCACTATATACACAACAAAAATATTTATATTTATACCAACCACTATATATACAACAAAAATGTGAACACATGCCCAAGGGGATTCGAATACAACACATGCCCAAGGGAATTCTAATGCAACACATGCCCAAGGGGATTCGACCTTGGGACCTCAAGTAAAAAATTCAAAGTCATAACCATCAAGCCATCTAATTACATGTGATTATAAATTACTGATTAATAGACTATATTTACTTTCCATTTTCATTTAATGATGTTTGGGAATTATCCCACATCGAAAGATGGGTATTCAATTTTGGTATATAAATACCTATGCAATATGAACTACAAAATGTGTGTAAAAATATTAGAGCAATCTCACACGTGCGTTTGGATACACGTGTGCACGTGTGAGTGTGCGTGCGTGGGGTACGCTCGCACTTGCGCTTGGGCACACGTGTGCACGCGTGAGTGTGTACGTGTGAGTGTGCATGTGTGCATGAGTGAGTGTGCGGGGGGGGGGGCACGGTCGAACGTGTGGTTGGACACACGTGTGCACGTGTGAGTGTGCGTGGGGAACACTCGCACGTGCGCTTGGACACACGTATGCATGTGGGAGTGTGCATGGGGCACACTCGCACGTGCGTGTCATGTGTTATGTGTGAACTGGGCTGAATCGGATAGAACCGGATGGGAACCGGCAGTTCCACTCTAGAACCCGGGTGGTTGGAACGTGCACGGGCACGCGTGTTTTCGAGTCGAACCGGGCGAGTCCGGTTGGACTCGCCGTTTTTCATGGATAATTCACGTATTATGCATTTACTTCCTTCTTTGTTCTTAGAATTCTCTAATATATTTTTTATTAAATACAAGAGAATATCTTTTGGAGAATAAATAGGAGCAAGAAAAAAATTATGAAAATTTTAAGAAAGGCTTTTCTATGCGTGATAGTTCATTCCAATAATACGACCTTCTTTTAGAGAATTTGCAATTTAGAAAAGAATTCAAAAAAGTAATAGGAAATATTAAATGGGATTGTATGTGATGAGATCATTTATCTTTTATACAAGGTGGTCACAATTACATAAAACCGTCCAATGTGAAATTTGATGGCTTGGTTGTCTCAAAGTTCAAGAAAATTTCTTTTGAAGTTTGAGCTTGGTCAATTGAATAATTGCAACGACCCAACTTCACATCCAAAAGTCAAGATTGAAGTGACCGCTTTGTATCAAAAGTAAATCGTCTCATTCTATAATTTCTCATATTAATTTGCTATAAAGAAAATAATGACTTGAATTAAAAGTTAAAAAACTAATTAATAAATTTTTTAAATATAGTATTTTTATTTATTTTTGGATAACTCAATGGAAATGACTCCTACCCCTTTTTTTCTAGTAAGTTAGGAATTAGCTTTTTTGAAGGTGTTAGTTGGGTGATGTTACTGATGGGAACGTGGCGGCTAGGATACTATCTATTTACTCCCTCGAGTAAAATCTTTACTAGGATGAATTTAAGGATCCCAAATTTTAGCATATAACCTCTTCAACAGATAGATTAACCTCAATAAGAAAAATTATTGATTGCACCTTTTACGTAATTGAAAAAAATAATGTCTCAAGATTTAATAGAGACCGTCTAGTTTTTAGAGGGTGAGATCGAGTGTTAAAAAGCCCAATTTATTTTATTTTTTATTTTTTGAGAATAAACATCTAGTGATTATTAGATAGTTCCCATAATTTTAAATTGAAAAAATCCTTGAAAGTAAGTCTTCTAACCAAGGGAATAAATATATACAACGCCCATGAAGGAGTATATTACATGTACCCATAAATAAAATAGGAATTTTCAACCTGCTATTTTGGGTTAAGAAATACTCGTATTTTAATGAAAATATTCGTATTTTTTTTGAAAACAAAACAAGATTGTTAGAGATTCCTTTCCATACAGAGAGAACATAATAATACCGATAATTAGTATCAGGATCCTTGACTCTATGCAATATAGGAAACAAATTTCGTAATAATGGTACCTAATCCTCTATATATAAGAGATGGCTGTTAACCTTGAGTTTCAGCAAGAGTCAGAGTTATGGATTGTTCATTGGTTGATAAGTTTTGCTAGCATGCTGAGTATTTCTACACTCATTTGCTTTTCCCTACTGGCCTTCTGGTAACTTCCTATCTTCCTCATTCACTGCAATGCACTAACAACTCTCTCTATAACTCGAGATACTGGGCTTCTGGTTACTTCCTAATGCACTAACAACTCTCTCTTTCGAATATTAGACTCAATGTATTCTCGAGTTATAGAGTTATAGTATTCTCTCTTTCGAATATTTGTTAATGCACTAACAACTCTCTCTCTTTCGAATATTTGTTTTTACATTGGGACTCAATGTAC